AGAGGAACGGTCAATATGCAAAATTATATTAATTTTAATTAAATTTATATTGTGTGGTTTTGTTCGATTTGGGTTGGATTTCTTCAATAAAATTGCAACCCAACCCGGCTCGATTCAATTTGGGTTTGATTGGGGAAGGTCGTTCACGTTACTATGAACTAGGTGTGGACATTGATTGGGCTGATTCGATTTTTGAACCTTGAACAAACTCGAAACCAAATCAAACAATCCATTTGAATAATTTTCAATCCAAAATTGTGTGTAAATTAGAGCCAACTCAAACCATTCAATCTTGATTTGGTTCGATATTGGTTGGGTCCAATTCAAACTTAAACATTAAAATTACGTTAAAAATGAAGGTTTTTAAAGACTTTCTATATATTTGTTAAAAACTTAAAAATATTTGGACCTTAAAAAAATTCTTCGAGCCTTCCGAACATAAAATGTGAAAATATATATATATATATATGAAACACAATAATGAGATTATGAGAGAGAGGAATGGCCAATCTGCAAAATTATATTAGTTTATAATTATTATGAAATTTATTTTTGGTCATTGGGTTGTTTTTGATCGGATTTCTTCCATAAAATCGCAAACCGAGTGGATTCCTCTGAGGAGAAATCAAATCGAATCGAATCGAATCGAAATATTGCAAAAATAGACCCAATTCGACTCGATATAATTTGGATGGATAGATTCCGTGGGCGTGGATTAAATGCCCTACCCTACTAATACTAATCAATTGATCATTGAACTCCATTTGGTGCTTAAGACCTAAGAGATCGAGGACAATTCTAACTAATTATTCCTTTTTGCCAATCAATTGTTACAGGAATTCATGATGTTCATAATGAATTGGCTTATTGGTCAAAAAGTTAGAATTCACCACTTGATATGGCTAGGAAAAATTCTTTTCAACGACGTATGAGTTCGTTTTTACAGTCATTTCGTCGATTTCCTCTTACTAAACTATTTTTTTTTTTTAATTCTATGTTCAACTTTATTTAACTTTTTTTTGAAGTAAACTTAAATTAACTGATAAGACGTGAAATCGGAAAATTAACCTTTTTTTAGTTCAATTCATTTTTTTTATTAATTAAAAAATGAAAAGTAAAATTTTCTTCTATTTTTCCATTTAGCAATATTGGAAAATATCAATAAACAAAGGCTTCCATAATGCATGGCTTTTTATTGACAAATTGTCTCAACTTTTGCCAAAATCATGGCTCAAAAACAGCGTTGATTGCAGAATAGGCATCCAATTTCGAAATTGGTCAACTCTATCAACACCTAAATAATTAATTAGGGTACGTTTGATTGTTCAATATTTTTCATCCAAATTTCTACTTTTATACTGTTTAATTGACATTTTTTTCCATGAAAAACATTTTCCTACTTTTGTTCATGTGATTATATTTTTCTCAAAATCAAGAATAATATTTTCTTTAAGGGAGTAGGATTTAGGAAGGATTTTATTGTTCAGAGAATTCACTCTTTCTTTCTCTCTTTTATCTATCACCTCTTTGTCATCTACCACCAATAAAAAATTGGACAAGTATAATATTTTATAAGTTGAAAACTAAATAAATAAAACACATTTATTTAATAATTTTTATACGTATAAGTTATAGGCAATTGAATTTCTTAGAATTTATTTTCTTTTTATGCAAATTTTATGTTTGCAATCAAACGCACCCTTAGAATCCATTCAACTGTGGTGTAAAATTAGGTGTAATATAGTATCTTCAAAATCAATTTTGCATTTCATTTACATCCCGATGTATCTAAATCTAAATTCTGTTACAATAGGAAGATCTAAATTCATTTCTTGTCTCTTGCAGATGTAAAGGAAGATGTAAATTTACATCTTTTTTTTTTACATATTTCGTCGAAAAATGTAATTCGCATTTCTTTAGTGAAGATGCTTTCGATCACTTTGGAAATCTAAATCTCTATTTTATACAACCATTAAAGATCCTCTTACTACTTGAGGAATTGATTATTCAAGTGAAGTGGTCATCCACATTTAAAATACTAAGTTTATATTTGTTTCTCATTTTTTTAAAATTTGTTTTTCTTCAAACATATATTTTTTAATTTTATACGTAAATCTATAACTTTTTTCTACATTTTAATCATATATT